AAAAGACAATTATCCTCACCGCTAAAGAAATAAGAAAAATGAGCTTGAGCATCTTGGACCAATTGTGTTGATGATGAGAATCAACAGACTCTTGACTACTTGTGGACTTCCCCACCAACACCGACTCCTGCTCAAGAAGACTCTGGATCGAGTGTATTTGCAAGTGTACTGTGGTGGGCTTCAGGAGTGCTGTGAGGGACCACCGGTTTATTGAAGCTGTACGAGACTATGCAGCTTCTAGTGTCGGGATGCCAACACTTATACACCGACACATATCAGTGTGAGGGCGTTCTTGTTACGACACCAGTGGGAGGAACCGTTGTGGTTAGATTGCGTTAATGTGCACTTTCACTATCAACCGAGATAAACACGTCTTCAGGTGTAGAGGCAACAGTTTGTATTTCTCACAACTTACAACAATAATATTAACAAATAAGTTCTTAGTGTAACAATCTTCTTGATGATTTTCTTTGTTTATATAACATTGTTACATATGATAAAGAAACATTTATGGGTTAAGGAAGAGGATGTTGGCCAACAACAATACAAGAGTTTTTAGTTCGTCATTTAATAGATGTTTGAGTACAATCAAGTAAACTTAGGTTGAAGTGAAGGTAATTGACTCTTAGTCCTGTAGCAAATGGGCAGTGGAAGTCAACAAGAAAAAAAATATGGAATGCTGATTTTTTTTCTGTGAAGTTACCCTGATGTTTATTGAATTGTACTGTGACGTCTCTAAGAATTCCGGGTCGGGAAAAAAAAATTCAAGATCTCCAAGATGGCCGAGCGCCCATCTCCGTTATTCTGAATGAATCTGTCTCGACTTCCTACTCGTTTCTGCAATATTGCAAGCTCCTGATGATGTGGTGAAGTTACCCTCGCGATCTTAACAATGCAAGGCAAGCCACGGGGGGGGGGGAGGGTTGAAATCCTTAGATCAAGTACTTTCACACTTCTCAGTGCGTCATCAGGAGCTGTGCAATGTTGCAAAGGCAACAACAGGAGAAGTAGGGTAAGTTCTCAGAGTGGTAGAGGCACCGGCCAGTCTCTGACACAGGTTTGTTTACAACCAACTGCTGCAGAAGATATGTTCCTTCTCACTAGTATAGCGTACTGGAGGCTACCTTCTACTGCTACTATTGATTTTATGCTTTTATTGTTGTCTTTTAGTAGTAGTAATAATAGTGTGAACTAGTTCATAATGGTGGTGTGGGTGAATGGGACAGATTAGGTTGTGGATGTTGTGATGCTGGTGGTACTATTAGCAGTAGCCATCAACTGTGATTGTTATGCTGGAATAGATCAGGACGGAGGTGATGGTGATGATACTAGGAATAGATAGGATTCACGTTGGTAGGATTAACTTAGCATGTTCGTAATGGTAGCTGGAATAGGCCATTAGGGTGTGACTATGGTAGCAGTAGTAGTAGTTGTGATAAGAGCTAGTAATGACGGGATCAATTATGTGGGTGATAAGGACAGTTAAAGGGAAGAACGCAGTAAGCGTATAGCTAATCAATATTAAACACCAGGTTTCCTGTACACTCCTGGTGGATCCCTGGTGCGCCCACGACTGTACATTTAAAATAACCTGGTTGACATGAGTGACACTGAGGGAAATAACTTTCTCTGATGCAGATTAACGAGCTGATACAGTCAAAAAAATGGAGAAGTAGGTGTTGTTGTTCTTGTAATTTAAGTTGTAGAAGGCGTCGTAGGGGTTGCACTACCCTGACACAGAGTAATACAGGAAGCGTCTGCGGAACATCGACCAATTTGGAAATAGAAAACTTCACCAAAAGGACACCTGTAGTTATTTTCTGGTTTAGGTACCCCGTCTTCAGAGCAATCAGTGGGGTCGGGAATCTGCAAAATTCCTGGTCCGCAGTAATGAGTACGACTTCACAGCAAACTTCTTTGTCCTTGACACAGTTCTCTAGGCCAAAATAAGGTGTGTCAGAGACAGGTGAGAGACTGTTGCACTTGACCAGCCATACAAAAATAGTATATACTACAGTTGAAAGGGTCACTAACCATGCTGCAGGAGCCGTTGCAAGTGATGGAGCAGATTGGTACCTAACACCTGATTATACACCTAACATAAAGGTGTACAATCAGATTTCGGGGCGCAGACCCTCGGTATCAAAGATCTCGCCAACGCCGCAGTGTACAGGCTGGTCCGTCGGCATTTCATTCAGGCACATGTAATATCTGGTGCAGTTCTTGGGATCTGCTACCTTGTCACCAGTATTTTTCCCAGTACAATCTGGTGTACAAGAGTCTTTATAGATCACCCCGGCGGTGCTCACCCCGGCGGTGCTCACCACTTGTGTCAAGGAGAAAATATGCAACAGAAAACTATTATTAACTTCTATATAACTAAGAAAATGGTTTCCTGAAAGACAGAAACACACAGTATGTGCCAGCTTAGTAAATAAATTAATTATTATTATTATTATTATTATTATTATTATTATTATTATTATTATTATTATATTTATCGCTAACATTATTATCATTATTATTTTTATTATTATTAATAAAACTATAAAATACCAATTAATAATAATAATAATAATAAAACTAAGCGGCATTTTATCGTGATTAAATAATAATAATAATAAAATTATTATTATTATTATTATTAAATGTACCCGTTAAACCTGTATGGGTCAGGGAGTGCAGAGCAGCACACCTTCAGCCTCCACCAGCACCACTACCAATCACCAACCATCACCAACTATCACCAACCAATTATCAACCACCAACAACCAAAACCACCACCAATCACCTCCCACCATCAACCTACACCAACCATCACCAACCACCAGCCACCTCCAGCCAACAATCACTATCAACCGTCACCAACCACCAGTCACCTCCCACCATCAACCACCACCAACCATCACCAATAACCAGCCACCTCCAACCATCAACCACTACCACCAACCACCAGCCACCTCCAACCATCAACCACTACCACCAACCACCAGCCACCTCCAACTATCAACCACTACCACCAACCACCAGCCACCTCCAACCATTAACCACCACCAACCATCACCAACTACCAGCTACCTCCAACCATCAACCACCACCAACCATCACCAACACCACCTCCAACCATCAACCACCAACAACCATCACCAACCACCAGCCACCTCCAGCCATCAACCACCACCAACCATCACCAACCACCAGCCACCTCCAGCCATCAACCACCACCAATTACCACCAATTACCAAAACTAAGAACAACCAACCATCAACCACCACAACCATCCACCACCACAAACCAAAAGTATCAACCATTACCAACACTAACAACAACAACTCAACCACCACCACCACGATCAATAACCATCACCACCACCAATCACCACGATCAATCATCACCATCATCACCACGATCAATCACCATCACCACCACGATCAACCACCATCAACCACCACCAATAACAGCAACAACTAAAATCAACCATAGCCAACAACAACAACAACAACAACAGCAACCACCAACGACAACCACCACCACCATCAACCAACATCATTACTCACACCAACACTCCTCTACCCCTTCACCACGCCACAACCACCATACCACACCACCGCTACCACCACCACACCACTGCCACCACCACACCACCGCTACCACCACCACACCACTGCCACCACCACCACACCACCGCTACCACCACCACACCACTGCCACCACTACCACCACACCACCGCTACACCACTGCCACTACACCACACCACACCACCACCACACCACCACCACACCACTGCCACTACACCACCGCTACCACCACCACACCACTGCTACCACCACTTGCAATTTTGGTTTAAGTAGCAACGGTCTCTTCCCGAATAAGGCAAGCGAAAATTTGTGTATGCAATAATTTCGCAAAAATCATTCTGAACCTAACGAAAAAAATATATTTAATTGTGTTTGTTTATTATTAAATTATTGTAAACTTAACTAAAATATATTTAGTTGGATTAGACTAAATTAAATTACGCTTGTTATAATAAGGTTAGGTAAGTTTTCTAAGGTGCTTTTGGTACAAAATTATTAATTTTTACATTAACATAATTTAAAAAAATATATCTTTAAACATATATGAGAAAATTTTAGAAAGGACTTAATTTTAAATGAGTTCTTGCTAAGTGACCAATTTTACCTATTCGGCACGACACACACACACACACACACGTATATATATATATATATATATATATATATATATATATATATATATATATATATATATATATATAATATATATATATATATATATATATATATTATGCAAAACAACCACGGGGGGAGCTGAATGATAACTCTAGGCCTTAAGTGTTCCAATCAACACATCATCATCAGCTTGCAATATTGCAGAAAAAGGCGGAATTCCAAGCAAACACATTAAGAGGAAGAGTTTTTGCCCGAATGATGGTAGAGGGAGGCAGTAAGTGCCCCAGGAAGACCAATACCCAGTGCCTAGTGCCCAATGCCAGAACGACTGAATATTAAAACATTAGAATACAGCCAGACCACAAATTCTGATATTGTAGCAATAACCTCACGAAGGTAATGTTAGTAACATGACAGCAGGAAAAATTCGGTCATACTTTGATATGCTGTAAAAGAATTAACATATAGACAATATATCTGGAAATTGTCTTAAAAATTTTTCTGTACATCTAGAAAATGGGTCCACAGCACTCACTTAAAGGGGAGACATCTGTAGTTTATCCAAAAGGAAGACGGCCATGGTCACATGATTTAGAGGCAGAGACAGGTTTAACCATGAAGACCAGCTGTAAAATAGACCCTAACTAAGATTCTGTGATATTCGTATAGGAGTCTGGTTTTAGGCTATGCACAATAGCCTTTACTATAAATGAGTCTAATTTGAATAAGCTGCCCTTATTATTGTATAATGAATGTTTATACTCTGTCCTCCAGCCAGTTTGCACTGTTACTACAGACTAAGGTGACTGAAAATCACATTTGAGTCTTTGGGAATCCGTATTATATATATGTGATGTGATATCCTAACTTCTAGAGGTTTTTCAGTCAGTCCTACATTAGGTAAGTTGCACCATTACAGCCAATTCTGTACACATTGTTGAAGAGAATTATTTATCAAGATGCTTTTAACTGTCTGTGAATACTAGTATGTTAAATCTTTTAAGAACATTCGGCAGGACAGATAAATTCTCATTGTAAGGGAGAACCAACACATTCTTGATCTAAGGTGTTATCTTAGGTTCAGTCATATGATAAGTTTTTCTAGCTGCCACCAACGGTGATTCCACCAACTCTTTAGGGCACCGCAATTTCCTGGCAATATCAAATATTTTCCTAATGTCTTCACCGAGAAGCTAAGGGCTGCATATCTGGTAAACTCTGAGAAACATAGTGACACAGACACTCCTTTTCTCCTGTCTCATAATTGGAATAATAGTGGATGTGTGAGCATATATTTGTAAACATTTATTAATATCTTAATATGCACTAAGATCGCAACTTAGCCTAAGATTGTAATATGCAACTAAAGTGACCTAATTTACTTAATCTACGTAAGAATTTCTATTAAAAAAATTTCAGTGTTTTCCTTCGTTAGGGGAGGAGGGAGGGGTTGTCTTAGTGTTGGTGAACCTCTACTGAACCAAGAAATTGGTTCAGTTCTTTGGATCAGAGCTAATTTCCTCCTATTTCCGAGGAAATATATAAGATAAGATAAGATTTCGTTCGAATTTTTAACCCCGGAGGGTTAGCCACCCAGGATAACCCAAGAAAGTCAGTGCGTCATCGAGGACTGTCTAACTTATTTCCATTGGGGTCCTTAGTCTTGTCCCCCAGGATGCGACCCACACCAGTCGACTAACACCCAGGTACCTATTTGCTGCTAGGTGAACAGGACAACAGGTGTAAGGAAACGTGTCGAAATGTTTCCACCCGCCGGGAATCGAACCCGGGCCCTCCGTGTGTGAAGCGGGAGCTTTTAGCCACCAGGCCACCGGGCCACCTAATTGACAAAATTTAATCTGATTTGTGTATTGTCACATTATGATTATATTAACAGGACTGTTACACTGTCCTAGTGTGACCCCTTGGGGTGGTCAGGAGAGTAACACTGCTCTAGTGTGACCCCTCGGAGTGGTCAGGAAAGTAACACTGCCCTAGTGTGACCCCCTCGGGGTGGTTAGGAAAGTAACACTGCTCTAGTGTGACCCCTCGGGGTGGTCAGGAGAGTAACACTGCTCTAGTGTGACCCCTCGGGGTGGTCAGGAGAGTAACACTGCTCTAGTGTGACCCCTCGGGGTGGTCAGAAGAATAACACTGCTCTAGTGTGACCCCTCGGGGTGGTCAGGAGAGTAACACTGCTCTAGTGTGACCCCCTCGGGGTGGTCAGGAAAGTAACACTGCCCTAGTGTGACCCCCTCGGGGTGGTCAAGAAAGTAACACTACTCTAGTGTGTTCTGGAAGCTCTGGCTACAAATGTGCTCCGGGTACTCAGGTGTGCAATGGCTTGCAGGAGTCTGCATCGACTGCCTGTGAGCCACCACATGTAACCTTCCCTTATCACTGTGTCTCTGATTTGACAACAAAACACGCGAAAAAAAATCTCAGCTTTCTGAAAAATTAGAGCGATAAGCAGAGGATAACCAACAATAGGTAAGGTTTTATTGTTTTATTCACAAGAAGACAGGACAAGTGTCTCCTAACTCGGGTCTTAACAAAAAAAGATGACCCGTGGGCAGGTAAGTACATCAACAAACATTTTGCTGCTACCTTACTCTATATTACAATTATACAGTGGAAAGAAAGCTAACTATGTTCTCTGTTATATTCCATCACATCACAGAATGGATTCTTTACACTACATAATAAGTCAGCCTTGTTCTGCATATATATATATATATATATATATATATATATATATATATATATATATATATATATATATATATATATATATATATATATATATATAGGGGGTGGTAGGAGAAGAAAATATTCAAACAGCTCCGGGGAGAACCTTGAGTTTTCTCTGAGGTACGTTTATTGTCTTCTCTGAGGATGAGGGTCCTCATTCCAGCTATAGAGGTGGTACTTCCCTATATATATATATATATATATATATATATAATATATATATATATATATATATATATATATATATATATATATATATATATATATATATATATATATATATATATATATATATATATACAGAGGGGGTGTTTGAATATTCAATCTAAATTGTGACTGAAACACCTGGAGAGTGGCTACAAGCATGGAACGTTGTCCACATATCTAAGCTTTTCGTGCTAACAGAATGTTGATTATGCAAAACCCAATTCATTTGTTGGTGACGGTGATGGAGTTTATGCTGTTGGAAGAGAAAAGAGGATGCTGATGCTGGTGGCAAAATATGTCGAAAGAATGGTGATTGTGGTAGTGACGGTGGTTAAGGCAGGTCAGAATGATGATGGTTGTAGTGTTGGAGTTGACTGAAAAGATAAAAACAGTTGAGGAAGTAAGCGAGATGGATGGTGGTGTATACAACAGTTCAAAAGGATATTGTTAGTCCTGATGGCAATTGTGGTAGAAAATATACTAGTTATGAAGGTGAGAGCAGGATATGATGGTGGGTGGTAATGGTGGTAAGATCACTTCAGTGGTTGATAAGGACAGTCATTAGGAAGAACGCAGTAAGGGAAAGCAGAAACAGTATTGAACACCAGATTTTCTGCGCACTGGCGGACGATTCCTGCAGCACCCACAGTTGTACAATGAAAATATTCTTGCTGACAAGACTTGCACCTGGGGAAGTTGCCAACGGCTGTGCAAACAAGCGAGGTGATACAGTCGTTTGGTGTTGTTGTTGTAACAGGCTTTACTGTAGGACAGTCGGCGAGAAGAATGCAATAACGGTAACTAGGATCTGGATTGAACACCAGCTCTCCTGGACACGTCTGAACAATTCCTTCTGTGTTCACGGCTGTACATTTGTAATAATCCTGTTTACAAGAATGGCATTTAGCAACGTAGCCAATTTCTGTACAAATAATTGAGTTTGTGCAGTCAGTAGTAGGTGTAGCTTTATATTTTGGAGACGGTTGTGTAGATGGCAATGCTTTACTTGCAGTGGTCGTTGCACTCGGGTTTACATGGGCTGGGATAGATGTAGAGCACGGTGTGACACAGGGAGCATCCGGGATACATCGACCAAGTCTATAATTAAAAACATTTCCTCTAGGACATGTGAAGTGATAGTCTTGGTTAACGATTCCTTTTGCAGTGCAGACATAGTACTTGGTGCAGTTCATGGGGTCAGAAACCATATCAAGAGGATCTTTGCCATTACAGTCCGGTAAACAGGAGTCTTTCTGGACTGTCCCGCCTGTGTACGAGACCTGAATGAGAAATGTTTCTTTGTAGAAAAGCTTGTTATCGACTGACTAAAATATATTATAATAAACCCTTCTAGAGCAAGTATACTCAGCAGTCAATTTACTAGCCATTAATTTATTCCATTATTATGAGATTATTTTAGAATTAATAATATCCTACACTGAAACCCTGCCTGACTCTCCCCCTCGGGGTGGCCAGGGAAGAGCACAAGCCCTCACCGCCAGGGAAATAATGAGGAGAATGTTCTTGTCCATGTTGAACTCTAAAAAGCTGCTGAACCTCGAACTCGACCTCCAATGTAGTATTAGTTGGTGCAGGTGTGTTGTGGTGGGTGCACGTGCACTGTGGTTGTTGTTCTTGTGCTATGGTAAAGACTGTTGCACTATGACTTCTAGAGCAAGTGAGTTGAGAATGCAGGTGTCTACTGCGGCTGTTGGGTTAGGGAGCAACACATATACCGTCACGCTTATCATTATGTGGGCGTCACCGCCACCACAAACAGGGATCATTGTTATCAAATTTTGCACATTAGAGGTATACGTCAACACAGTCCACTAGCTAAATAGCTGTCAAGAGCCATCGGTGGTGAGAAATTCGCACGTACCTGAGCCCACAATAAACTGCAGGTTCCCAGAATTACTAACTAGTTTTCGAGGCTGCAAATTATATGTAAAAACGGATTGCTGCATAAAACCTTAATGTATCAGTTCCAGAATTGACTTTATATGAAGTACAATTGAATTTGAAAGCAATAATTCTCGCCCAAGTCAGTAATCACCTCAACAATATGCTCGATGACAGGTGATTAGAACAACGAATTTCAAACTCTTTTAAATTCAAAGAAATCGAGGTCAGTTAATATCTATACATTGTCAAATCAGTGAAGATAAGTAAACACCCCTTCGAGGTGACTGTTGACTCATAGAACTGGTTAGTTGGGCGGCAGAGAGGACATCTCCACTACCCTTTCTGTACTCTTTGAAGCGAGGGATATAATATATAAATTCTCGTAAACTTTTTCATGAGTAGTTTATCGTGCGTATAACTAATGTTTATTAGTCTAATTAGAGTTCGTGTCCAGTCCTTCGGTAAATATATTTATAATCATTACTATGTTGATAAGAAGTCGTTATTGAAATTGAGATCTTGGGTTCATTAAGTCAAACATATAAATTGATACAGTACTTTATTTATAATAAGCATTTATACAAATAACCCGCATATAAAAGAGAGGAGCTTACGACGACGTTTCGGTCTGACTTGGACCATTTACAAAGTCACACTCAGTATGACTTTGTAAATGGTCGGACCGAAACGTCGTCGTAAGCTCCTCTCTTCTATGTGCGGGTTATTTGTGTATCGTTCCAGTCACGTTATTGTGCCTTTTTTTTGTTATTAATAAACACTTCAATGAATTTAATGCGGCATCACAGTACAAATTTAATATCTTAAATTTTGGAAACCTGTTAATGAGTCAATACCTATTTCTATACCTCATGACGTCAGTCAATAAACAATAATGTTATTACAGATCTTTTTAAAAAGTTCTAAGAAATCAGAAAATTTATATATGTATACTCTCTCTCTCTCTCTCTCTCTCTCTCTCTCTCTCTCTCTCTCTCTCTCTCTCTCTCTCTCTCTCTCTCTCTCTCTCTCTCTCTCTCTCTCTCTCTCTCTCTCTCTCTCTCTCTCTCTTTTACACAGGGTTTGACAAGGTTAGATTAAGGATTCCTAACTTTATTGACAAGCTATTTACAGGTTAAGGATTCCTAACTTTATTGGCAAGCTAAGAGCTGTTACCTTCATCAGCTCATTTGAAAGCATTTTTATTGTTATGAGACATACAAGTAGGGAACAGGATGAAGTTGGAGCCATCTGTGGGCCAGCATTTTCATTTGATCAACTGACTTTATCTCGTTGGCTTCATTATGCTGTACGAATGTGTTCCATACTCGAGTCATCCTGGGTATGTATGATCTCAGATGGAGTGAAGTTCTGGAGAAGGGTACAGCCAGAGTGAAGTTGCTGCTTTCTGCCCGTCTTGTGGCATAAAAGCTTGTTTCACGCTGTCCTCGAAGTGGATCCAAGTATGGTACTTTGACAATATTGGCCTTGTACATAACAGTAAGGCCACCCACATCCCTCCTGTGTTGAAGGCTCTGCTGAAATGCCAGATCTATCCAGGATTGGTCCAGGCGAGAGATGAGACGTCTTGCTCTGTTCTCTACTCTGTCAAGCAGTCGCAGATGAGAGGGAGGGGGGGCACGCAAACCAAGAAAGTGGAACATACTCAAGGTGTGAGCGTACTTGTGCCTCGTACAGAATTTTGCAACCCCTACTGTCAAGCAGATGTGAGATACGGTTCTCTCTCTCTCTCTCTCTCTCTCTCTCTCTCTCTCTCTCTCTCTCTCTCTCTCTCTCTCTCTCTCTCTCTCTCTCTCTCTCTCTCTCTCTCTCTCTGTATATATATATATATATATATATATATATATATATATATATATATATATATATATATATATATATATATATATATAGGACAAGGAGGAATAACATCTTGTAGGAGTGAGGAAGAGCCAGTTGTGAGTGTGGGGGTAGTCCGTGAGGCAGTAGGTAAAATGAAAGGGGGTAAGGCAGCCGGGATTGATGGGATAAAGATAGAAATGTTAAAAGCAGGTGGGGATATAGTTTTGGAGTGGTTGGTGCAATTATTTAATAAATGTATGGAAGAGGGTAAAGTACCTAGGGATTGGCAGAGAGCATGCATAGTTCCTTTGTATAAAGGCAAAGGGGATAAAAGAGAGTGCAAAAATTATAGGGGGATAAGTCTGCTGAGTATACCTGGTAAAGTGTATGGTAGAGTTATTATTGAAAGAATTAAGAGTAAGATGGAGAATAGGATAGCAGATGAACAAGGAGGCTTTAGGAAAGGTAGGGGTGTGTGGACCAGGTGTTTACAGTGAAACATATAAGTGAACAGTATTTAGATAAGGCTAAAGAGGTCTTTGTGGCATTTATGGATTTGAAAAAGGCGTATGACAGGGTGGATAGGGGGGCAATGTGGCAGATGTTGCAAGTGTATGGTGTAGGAGGTAGGTTACTGAAAGCAGTGAAGAGTTTTTACGAGGATAGTGAGGCTCAAGTTAGAGTATGTAGGAAAGAGGGAAATTTTTTCCCAGTAAAAGTAGGCCTTAGACAAGGATGTGTGATGTCACCGTGGTTGTTTAATATATTTATAGATGGGGTTGTAAGAGAAGTAAATGCGAGGGTCTTGGCAAGAGGCGTGGAGTTAAAAGATAAAGAATCACACACAAAGTGGGAGTTGTCACAGATGCTCTTTGCTGATGACACTGTGCTCTTGGGAGTTTCTGAAGAGAAGTTGCAGAGATTGGTGGATGAATTTGGTAGGGTGTGCAAAAGAAGAAAATTAAAGGTGAATACAGGAAAGAGTAAGGTTATGAGGATAACAAAAAGATTAGGTGATGAAAGATTGAATATCAGATTGGAGGGAGAGAGTATGGAGGAGGTGAATGTATTCAGATATTTGGGAGTGGACGTGTCAGCGGATGGGTCTATGAAAGATGAGGTGAATCATAGAATTGATGAGGGGAAAAGAGTGAGTGGTGCACTTAGGAGTCTGTGGAGACAAAGAACTTTGTCCTTGGAGGCAAAGAGGGGAATGTATGAGAGTATAGTTTTACCAACGCTCTTATATGGGTGTGAAGCATGGGTGATGAATGTTGCAGCGAGGAGAAGGCTGGAGGCAGTGGAGATGTCATGTCTGAGGGCAATGTGTGGTGTGAATATAATGCAGAGAATTCGTAGTTTGGAAGTTAGGGGGAGTTGCGGGATTACCAAAACTGTTGTCCAGAGGGCTGAGGAAGGGTTGTTGAGGTGGTTCGGACATGTAGAGAGAATGGAGCGAAACAGAATGACTTCAAGAGTGTATCAGTCTGTAGTGGATGGAAGGCGGGGTAGGGGTCGGCCTAGGAAAGGTTGGAGAGAGGGGGTAAAGGAGGTTTTGTGTGCGAGAGGCTTGGACTTCCAGCAGGCGTGCGTGAGCGTGTTTGATAGGAGTGAATGGAGACAAATGGTTTTTAATACTTGACGTGCTGTTGGAGTGTGAGCAAAGTAACATTTATGAAGGGGTTCAGGGAAACCGGCAGGCCGGACTTGAGTCCTGGAGATGGGAAGTACAGTGCCTGCACTCTGAAGGAGGGGTGTTAATGATGCAGTTTAAAAACTGTAGTGTAAAGCACCCTTCTGGCAAGACAGTGATGGAGTGAATGATGGTGAAAGTTTTTCTTTTTCGGGCTACCCTGCCTTGGTGGGAATCGGCCAGTGTGATAATAAAAAAAAAATATATATATGTATATATATATATATATATATATATATATATATATATATATATATATATATATATATATATATATATATATATATATATATGTCGTGTCGAATAGGTAAAACTTGTGATTTTGGCTTAAATAGCAACGCTCTTCTTGCCAAATTAGACAAGTGAAAATTTGTGTATGCAATAATTTTGCAAAAATCATTCTGAACCTTACGAAAAAAATATATTTCAGTGTGTTTGTATATTATTAAATTAGTGTAAACTTATCTAAAATATATTTAGCTGGATTAGGCTAAATTAAATTTTGCTTGTTATAATAAGGTTAGGTAAGTTTTTTAAGGTTCTTTTGGTACAAAATTATTAATTTTTACATTAACATTAATGAAAAAAATACATCTTTAAACGTATAAGAGAAAATTTTAGAAAGAACATATTCGGCACAATATATATATTTATATATATATATATATATATATATATATATATATATATATATATATATATATATATATATATATATATATATATATATATATATATATATATATATATAAATGTCGTGCCGAATAGGCAGAACTTGCAATCTTGGTTTAAATAGCAACGCTCATCTTGCCATATAGGACAAGCGAAAATTTGTGTATGCAATAATTTCGCCAAAATCATTCTGAACCTAAGGAAAAAAATATATTTCACTGTGTTTGTTTAGTATTAAATTATTGTAAACAAATCTAAAATATATTTAGTTGGGTTAGGCTAAAATAAATTGTACTTGTTATAATAAGGTTAGGTAAGTTTTCTAAGTTCCTTTTGGTGCAAAATTATAATTTTTTACATCAACATTAATGAAAAAAATATATCTTTAAACGTATTAGAGAAATTTTTAGAAAGGACTTAATTTTAAATGAGTTCTTGCTAATTGACCAGTTTTACATATTCGGCACGACATATATATATATAAATATATATATATATATATATATATATATATATATATATATATATATATATATATATATATATATATATATATATATATGTATATATATATATATATATATATATATATATATATGTATATATATATATATA